TAATGTAGGCATTCGAAGTTGCAAATGAAGCCCGGGATTTAAATATCCCGGGCTTCATTTGCATCTTCCGGGGCGCCGCCATTTTTAAATCCCCCTTAGTGAGGACTCCGTGCCCGTGGCTACACGCGGCATGGAGTAGGTAGTTCGAATTAGGTAGTTGGAACGAGGTGTACCAGTAGTTCGAATTAGAGAGCCTAATTCGAACTACCTACTCCATGCCGCGTGTAGCCGCGGGCACAGAGTCCTCACTAAGGGGGATTTAAAAATGGCGGCGCCCGGCAAGATGCAAATGAAGCCCGAGATATTTAAATCCCAGGCTTCATTTGCAACTTCGAATGCCTACATTAGCAACCCTAGTTCGAACTAGGGTGGCAGTGTAGACATAACCGTAAAATAAATGGAAGCCTTGGTGTTGACGGCAGTGGGTGCAGGACCAATCCCTGAGCCACCAGAATCCCCCATGGTACCTAAAACACCCTTGCTTAGAAAGGAGTTTGTGATGATGTTCACTTACAAAGACAACTGATGTGAGAAATGGTCCAAATAATAAGTGCTGACTGAATAATTACATTACTCCAAGGCTAGTGGTGTCAATATTTGCTCTGCTAATTGTACTTAATTTACTGTGAAGTTTTTTTCGAGGTTCCTGTTGCTTTGAGTGTATTAAGATACTGTGCTGCAGTTTTCCAGTGGGAGAACGTATCAATTAGATAACCCACAAGCATCATTACTGAAGTCATCCTACACAGAGGGCTCTGCCATGCCTCTAAGGCACAGCAGACATGGGGGCAGGGGTCTTGTGCACAGGGGCAATGGCCAAAACAGGCATTGTGCATGGAGCTCTTGGGATCAGAGCTGCTGTTCGCCCTATCACAAGGGGCAGTGTGTGTTTCCCACAGCCCCCACAACTGTCCTTCTCTATTGCACTTTGTAAAAGCTAATGCCTCTTTGGGTGCTAGACTTAGGGAGTTACTACTTCCCGAGCATGTGTATTGCACCTATGCCCAGCCACAGGGTGGAGGCTAGGGTTGCCAAGTGTCTGGTATTGGCCAAGACATGTATTTTCTGTTTTTCTTGGATGGAAGGGACAGTGACTCTTTTTTGTGTGTGCGGTTTTGGGGTTTTTTTTGCTCAACAACTTTGGGCATGTTTGGTATTTTTTGTGAAGGTATCTGGCAACCCTAGTGGAGGCGCAAGAGTTGATGGAGGTCCTCTGCCCCTTCTCTCTTGCACATGATCAAATTCTATCTTTTACAATCCAGATGCTTTGAAAGGATATTTTGTGCCAGGATCAAGGCTAGATTTCCTTTCTTCATTTGCACTAGATGTGGTTAGTGACAATACCAACAACACATCTCTCAAGAAGTCAAAATTCTACAGGCTCAGCTGAGGCTACATCTAGACTTCAGGTTTCTTTCAGAAGAAGATCTTTTCTGAAAATCTTCCTGCGAAAGAGCGCGTCTACACACAAAAGCGCATCGAAAAAGCAATCTACTTTTTTGAAAGAGCGTGTCCAGACTGATTGGATGTTCTCTAGCATAAAAGGCCACTCAGAACCACTTCAGTCAGGGCTTTACATCACCAGTTGCTTCCGAGTGCTGGTGCCAGAGCCTTGCAGAGACACATGCTTCAAGGGACCCCTCCCTCCCCCGGGCAGCCGTTTCTTTGCTTCTGCCGAAAAATCCAACTTCCACAATGTACTCACTCCTAGCCTGCACTCCCGTGAGCCATCCTGGGTTAGGGGCAGCTGGACAGCAAAGCTTTAGCAGTGCATGCTTGTGGTTGCCCCGCTCTTTTGGATACCACAGCCTTTTCCTTTGTGAAATGGAGGCAGAGATGCCCCTGGGCACTTTTTGCCAGCTGCCTTCCTGGTCCTGACCAAGCTCATTCTTGGGGCCCACCCCCTGGGTGCAGGAGCAGGCTCTTCCTCCTTCAGGGACAGGGGAAGGAAATGGAACTTCAAGTTAGGTCCCTGGTTGGATTTGGCTAGTTAGAGTCTCCAATTCACCTATCCCTGCCCAATCTCTCCTATTGTCCACCATGAGATCCAGGAAATGGTGCTCACAGAAGAATCACAGACTCATTCCTAGAGAACCAGGTGGGCCCAAAGGCAATCAGCTCTTCTCTCCTACCAGCACTGAGATGTCTGAGGGTGGAGGAATTGTCCTTACAGTGACTCCCTCCCTCTGACCAAGGGCTTTTGAGCCAGCAAGGGTACGCAATGGCTCCAAAACTACCGCATGCGGGGAAGACCACCTTTCCGCTCTGGACCAGGAGGGTGCTTGCCTCTTGGTCCCCCTGGGTGGGTCCTCAGATCCTTGGAGCTGCTCCCTGCGAGGGCCAGGAAGGTTGCAGGGGGCTAATCCCGGGCTTCATTTGCCAGTGCGGTATGCCTACATTACCCCACTAGTTCGAACTAGTGGGGTAGTGTAGACATACCCTTCCAGACTAAACAAACCCAATTGTTTCAATCTTCCCAACATGTTTTCTAGACCTTTAATCATTTATATAACTCTTCTCTGAACTTTTTTTCCCCAATTTGTCCACATCTTTCCCGCAAAGAAAACCTTCCTCCCCGTCCACACACATCTTTTCTCGAAAGAACTCTTTTGGAAAAGGTGTTCTTTCTCATAGAAAGAGGAGTACAATCCTATTTACCTTAGCCCATTTCTCCAGTTTTTCCACATCATTTCAAATTATAATCCTATTTTCCAAAGCATTTGCAATCCATCTCAGCTTGATATCATCTGAAAACTTTATAAGCATACTCTCTATGCAGTTATCTAAATTATTGATGAAGATATTGAACAGAACCAGTCCCGTAACTGATCCCTGCAGAACCCCATTCATTATGCCCTTCCAGCATGACTATGAACCATTGATAACTATTCTCTTGGAACAGTTATCCTGCCAGTTATGCACCCACCTCACAGTAGTTCCATCTAGATTGTAATATATCCTAGGTTGTTAATTAGACGGTCATGTTCCCATGTGTCCTTGCAAAAAAAAGCACACTGATTTTCACAGAGTTCTAGTGACAATTGGACACTGGCCTCTGTTTTTCCTTGTGGGTTGGATGACCTCTCTCATGGTCCAGTGACTAGAACAGTAATTTACAACATATGAGCACTTGGTTCAATTCCCAGTTCTACCACAGACTTTCAATGGGACCTTTAGCAAATTGCTTAACTTCTCTGCTTAACCATCAAGCACACTGATTTTCACAGAGTTCTAGTGACAATTGGACACTGGCCTCTGTTTTTCCTTGTGGGTTGGATGACCTCTCTCATGGTCCAGTGACTAGAACAGTAATTTACAACATATGAGCACTTGGTTCAATTCCCAGTTCTACCACAGACTTTCAATGGGACCTTTAGCAAATTGCTTAACTTCTCTGCTTAACCATCCTACTCTACCCCACAGAGGTGTTGCTCCAGAGGCAGTCCTGG